CACACCACTAGCTGGCCCAATTTCAACTTTCTTTAGAGCAGAAACTTTAATATAATTGTGAGGTGCTGCTCTTTTTTTTAAAAAAATCCCTTTTCTGCATTATGTCCAGTGCCCTGTGTGTGGTCAATAAATGTGATCGAACAATCGGCATTCAAAGGAATAGCGACAACAGCTGCTACAGAGGGAGTTGGGAATGTGATGTTAAAGCTTCTTGAAGTCCACAATGTTAACAATTAAATGATGTTTTCCACTTCAAAAATATAAACTATCCGGGGCCAGCAGGTGGTGTGGTAGTTAAGGGCATTGGACTCCCACATGGCTGACCATGGTTCGAGTCCTGGACCTGGTGGCTTGCTTTCTGACTTTCTGTCTCTCTCACTCTCTCTCACTCTGTCCCTCTCTGGTCAAGTTAAAACAAATAAATAAAATTAAATAATTATTTATATATATATATAAAATATGTATGTATGAATATACAACTATATAAATATAGGGGACCAGCAGGTGGCGTGGTGGTTAAGGTGCTGGACACTCCTACGTGGCTGACCAAGGTTCAAGTCCTGGGCCTGGCAGCTTGCTTTCTCTCTCTCCCTCTCTCTCTCTCTCTCTGGTCAATATTTGTATGTATGAATATACAACTATATAAATATAGGGGACCAGCAGGTGGCGTGGTGGTTAAGGTGCTGGACACTCCTACGTGGCTGACCAAGGTTCAATCCTGGGCCTGGCAGCTTGCTTTCTCTCTCTCCCTCTCTCTCTCTCTCTAGTCAAATTAAAATAAAATGAACAAATAAATTTAAAATATATATATAGATATAAATATCTATCTATCTATCTATATCTATATCTATATATATTAAAAACTATCCAATTATGCCTAACAGCAGGAAAGAGACTAAGGCAGGAAGGCTAGGGGTCATGTATCTCAGGACTCTACTAGTAATTTAAACACTGTAGATACAGTACAACTATCAGCAAACAGGAAAATTTAGACAGGAAGCTTGTCATCTAAAAACCACTGCTTATTCTCCCAAGATTATCCAGGTCAGAGTTTAGGACAAAATTAAAGTGCAAGCTGAAATGATAGTTCAGGAATATGAGAAAAATAACACTTCATTTTGACACTCCTCTTTAATGACAATGGCAGGGGCAGCCACAAGAGAATGAAGATGCAGACAAGATTCAACTCACTGCTTCCCTTTTAAAATAGGCCCTAAGGGCAGCTGTTTTGGAATTGAACAGCCAGGAAAACACAATCTTCAACTTCCTCACTAGCCTGCTCCAGCCCTGATCCTGAAGAGGAAAAAATATCACGTTTTTGAGGCTGTAGACATGTTGAAAACAGATGCCAAAATCCTAAAATGGAACTTCAATACTAGTATTTTTCAAAGTGAGAAACATAACCTGGATGTACATGTCTCCTATTTCAGTTATTTGAGAAACTCATATCAAATTCTTACTCTTTCAAAAGTCTCTAAACAACTTTTATAATTTAGTATGGAAAAACAAAGGTGCTAGTCAAATTCAGCATTTAATTATGACAAAATGATCTTGGTAACTTTGTCTTTTTCTAAAGGTCAGCAAAACACATGCGCCTCAAGGAAAACCATCCTAAAGAGAACAGTTTAATAATGCCCCAGGGGATCGGAGGATAGCATAATGGTTGCATTGCTGGACTCTGACATACTCAACCTGGGTTAAGTCCCTGACCTGGCAGCTTAAACTCACGCCAAGAGCATGTGCATGTGTGCCTAGGATACCAAGGAGAAAATAGAGGAGAAGAGACTGTGGTGTCACCAACCCCCGTAGGTGGTGATTTCTTGCTCTGTCTTTGTCTCTCTGGCAAGTACATGAGCCCTATAGCAAAAAGTCTCTCTATTAAAAAAAAAGGGGGAAGGGCAGGTGGCATGGTAGTTAAGGGTGCTGGACTCCCACAGGGCCGACTGTGGTTTGAGTTCCAGACCTGGTAGCTTGCTTTCTCACGTTCTCTCTCTCTCTCACGTTCTCTCTCTCTCTCACTCTGTCCCCTTCTGGTCAAATGAAAAATAAACAAATAAATAAAGTTAAATTTTTAAAAAGTTAAATAATTCTTAAAAAAAAAAAAAAGGCCAGCATATGGTGCAATGGCTACATCGCTGGACTCCCATGTAGTCGACCCCAATTCGAGTCCTGGATCCCAGAGGATGGAGAAGGAATTGCAGCGTGGTCATCCCCCCGGGGGATGATTTCTCACTTTCTCTCTCGTTCTCTCAGGGGGCACATGCACCCTACAGCAATAATCTCTCTCTTAAAAAAAAAAAAAAAGCCCAAGAAGTACCTGGCAAGCACACCTAAACTTAACTCACCTATTTTTCTTCCTTTCCTAGCATTTTGGCTGAAGTATTTTATATTTTCCTTAATGCTCCTAAGTCTCTCAAATTAAAACAATGAATAAAAAAAAAAAAAGTAACAAATTCTTGGGCCAGTAGGTGATTAAAGCAACTGGATCCCACATGGCCAACTACTCATTCCAAGTCCTAGACCCAGGAATTTGAAAACCACACCAGATGTATGTATATGCTTACCCAAAAATCCTGAGAGGAGAATGAAAGGGACTATGGTGTGGCCATCCCTCCATAGACCTGATTCTCACTTTCTCCCTCTCTGTTTCTCTGTTTCTCTCTCCAGGGAGTGCACATGTCCTACAGCAAAAAAAAAAAAAAAAAAAAAAAAAAGGCAAAACCATCGTTTTATTTAAGATTCTCTTAAGAATTCTACTTCTGATGTTGTGCTAAATTCTCCTATACATCTCAGTGCAGATGTTAAGTTTAAGGCACAGTGTATTTTAATACTTAATGACTTGCCAGAGAAGGGATTCTGAGAAATATATTAAAGATGGTGAAGAGAGTCATACAAAGATCTTTTGGAGCAAAACAGAAGATTAAAAATAACATCATCTGAGTGCTCAAAAAGGAACCTATTGGCATGGTATCAAATTTTTAAACTAAAATTACTTAGGCTAATATATTTATTCAGTCCTTAATTATGAGTTACTGATTGCTTCAACTCTAACTCTACCACTAATTTACTCACCTCCCTAAGTTTCAGTTCTCTCCTCCACAGAATGGGGACAAAAGCTCCGACCTCATAAAGTTATTTTAAGGATTACCTGGGATAAGCCATATAAAGTATTCAGTTGACTACTTAGCATATAATAGCTGTCATAATTGCTGCAATTAATTTGCTGTCACTGCAAGTCAAACAACTGACCCTCTCAAAACTACGTATAGGAGGCCAGCAGTTGGCCTGGGGGTTAAGGCACTGGACTTCCACATGGCCAACCACAGTTCAAGTTCCAGACCTGGCAGCTAGTTTTCTCACTTTTTCTTTCATCTTTCTCATCTCTCTCTGGTGAGCACACATGCCCTGTAACAAGTTTAAAATATTTATAATAATAAAAACGATAAAGTTAAACAATTAAAAAAAAACTATGTATAAATTAAGAGATCACCTCCAAATCAGACACACTTGTTTCAGTACATGGACTTTGTAACATCCATTTTGACTGCTCAAAGGTCTTTTTGGTTTTGCTTACTTCCTGAATCTCTGCTACGTTTCAGGAGATAGGTAAGACCTGCAGATAGCTGAGTCAAAGAGTTGATGTTATTTTAGGTGTGGGCATTTTTAGAAATAAATCAGGCAAAGCAGGTATATGAAAGCTCTGTCAGCCAGGTCCTTTAGGATTCCATCTTTCTTTCTCTGCCTCTGAAAAATTAAGTTCTTGAGTACATCAAAGGTTATTTTGCTGAGGTCACAGCATCAAAAATATGTTTAAGGAAAGCATATTTTAAGAAATTATTTTTAAAACCCCATAATTCCTAAACCTTAGGATTAACGAAATGTAAAACCTGCAGCTATATCTGAGAAAGATTTGTTTCGCTGCCTCCCAGTAATGCTTGCATGGAATATGTACTCTTAAGGAGGGAGGAGGCCAACTCACTGGTGACGTGGAGAGAGGAATTACAGGAGACCACATGAGACCTCAGCGGTACCCGGCGCCCCAGTCTTAAGAGAACCCGCTATTACAATAGATGGAGAGATAACCCAGAGTTTGACGAACCACTTATTTTCTCAAAAAAGTATTAATTGCGCCAAAAAATTCATTCAAAGGCCTTCCCGCACCCCTCCCTTGGTGACTGTGATTCTGGACTCAAGAGCTTGAAAGAAACTCAACATGAGACCTCAGCGGTACCCGGCGCCCCAGTCTTAAGAGAACCCGCTATTACAATAGATGGAGAGATAACCCAGAGTTTGACGAACCACTTATTTTCTCAAAAAAGTATTAATTGCGCCAAAAAATTCATTCAAAGGCCTTCCCGCACCCCTCCCTTGGTGACTGTGATTCTGGACTCAAGAGCTTGAAAGAAACTCACACAACATCAAGGGCAGGCCTGACCCGACACTCTAACCTAGAACCCAGTCCTTGAAGGGATAGGATGGAGAGCAGGATGACTTCTGGCTTCGCCCGCCCCACCTGCTGGTACGGCCTGGCTGCCACGTCAGGCAGACTCTGCCGCGGTCCCGCCCATTCTCCTGCCGCCGGTTCCATTGATTTGCCGGCTCTCCGCACTCAAACCCAGAACCCTGTCTGGACGCCTGGAGAAGCACTCCATTAAAGCCCAGGGAGGGGGACACGCTGCAAGACCACCCTCTCCCATCCCAAACTTTGCAGACAAAACAAGGTCTCGCGAAGTCGGGTCAGCGCCTTCAGCGCTCAGACGGCTTAAGTTCTCGAGCAAAGTGTGGAGGGGAGCCCGGCGCTGCGACACCCCAGTTCGGGCTGGGCGCCTTCCCTATGTGGCCGCAGATTGCACCCAGGGTTAGAACGGCGGCCCGACAGGCCGAGGGGGTGTGTGGGACCAGGGCAGGCCAGGCAGGATGTGAAGCAACAGAGGTCGGCAGGTCCTCCGAGAGACCCGGCCCCGCGCCCGAGCCCGTCGGGGCCTCGCCCGGCCGCTCACCGGCGCAGGAGCGTGTCTTCCAGATCTTCAGCAGCAGGATGACGATGGCCGCCAGGTGGGACAGGTCCCCCGTTAGCCGGAAGATGTTCATGGCGGCGGTAGTCGGCGCGGCGCAGCAGCCCCGGGGCTAGGCTGCTCTGGAGAAGGCAGCCCCAGAGAAGAAGCGGCGAAGATGGCGAGAGCGGGCGCGACGTGGCCAGGGACGTGGCCGAACTGCCGGCGCGCGCGCGAGGCAGTCTGGGAGAGCGACCACCGCCAAGCCCCGCCCGTGGCCCCGCCCCTTAAAGGGCCGCTCCCAGAGTAGGCTCTATCTGGCAGCCTGCTATAGTTCCTTCTCCTGGACCAGAGCTCCTCGCTAACTTCTGTCGAGTTTCCGGTTTCTCCTTGGATGCCAACGGTTTCCTTTAATTTTTGAAATGACACTCCCTTGTGAGGGTTTCCCCCCGCTTCTTTCCCACTTATAATAAGAGTTCTATAGACATAAAAAAGCATAAGAGAGCAATAAAAATCTGTGATTGCGTTACTCAAGGTAAGGTCAACATTGAAGGTGTTGTGGAAGATGCGGCTCTACATTGGGGCGGGGGAGGGGTGTCGTCCAAAGATTTTACCATTCTATGGGCTGTCTTTAAGAAAGAGAATGCAGGACCAGCAGTTGGTGTAATGGCTATGTCTCTGGACTCCCATGTAGTTGACTGCGGTTCGAGTCCTGGACCCAGTGGCTTAAACTCACGCTGGGCATGTGTGGGTGCATGTCCAAGATCTCGAGAGGAGAATGGAGGAGAAGGGATTGCATCGTGACCATCCCCCTGGAGGGTGATTTCTTGCTTTCTGTCTCTCTGTCTCTCTGTCTTTCTGGCAAGCACACACTCCCTATAACAAAAACCTCTCAAAAAAGAAAGAATGCAAAGTTAAGTAGAAAAGTGGACAGTTCTGTAGGATCAGAAAATAGATCACAAGAAATAACAAATGGAACAAAGCTGACAAACAGAATCTACTATGGATACATAATTTGAGGGGTCAGACCAAAATGAAAACACCAGATCCTTGATTAAACAAAACAGGGTGCTGGAAAGTACTGTTAAAGGTACTTAAATACTATGAAGCTTTTTCCTTTTGCAGTCTCTTGACTAACGGTGTTTCTTGTTTGCTACTGAAGTTGCTCCTAAGTGAAGAAGAAACAAAATTACCATAAAATTTACCATTTGTCTCTATATTTGTCAATGTCAGTTTTGAATGCAAATATCAGAACATTTAACTTGCATAACAAATCTCTGGGGCCCTCCAAGTGCTGTGGTTAAGGCCACTGGGTCCCCCATGGCCAAGTGGGAGGTTGAAGTCGAAGACCTTCCCCTTGGAAAACAGGCCAGGTGGGTGTACCTGCCTGTCAGAGAGGAGAATGGATGAGAAGGGATTGCAGCATGGCCATTCCCCTCTGGTGGCTTCGGGGAATACTTTCTCACTTTCCCTCTGTCTCTTCAGCAAGCTCATGTGTTCTATAGCAAAAACTATTTTTTAATGGGACCAGCAGTTAGCATAATGGCTATGTCGCTGGACTCCCACGTAGTTGACCATGGTTCGCGTCCAGGACCCAGTGGCTTAAAACTCACACCGGGCGCGTGTGCGTGCGTGCCCAAGATCCCGAGAGGAGAATGGAGGAGAAGGGATTGCGGTGTGGCCATCCCCCCTGGGGGGTGATTTCTCGCTTTCTGTCTCTCTGTCTCTCTCTGGCAAATGCACGTGACCCATAGCAAAAACCTCTAAAAAAAAAAAAAACTATTAAAAAAAAAAAGAAGAAGAAAAAGAAAATAGAAAGAAAGAAGGAAGGAAGAAATCTCTGAAAGTACACAATTCGTACTTCATAGCTTTTCCTTGCCAGGTGCCTGGAGCTGACCAGAAGAGATGGAAGTAGATCAGACCCAGAAAAACTGAAGGGAAGAAGAGGAGGTCTGCCAGGCACAGAGCAGTCCAAAGGAACATATCGACATGGTGTTGCCGGATAGGCAAGTGTAGACCCTCACATGTCCAGGGGAGCATGTGAACATCCACACTGGACTCAGATGAAATGTCCACCTGGGCCTGATAGTTAGTTTCCCTTTCCCACCAGTTGACTGACCAGGCCAGGGAGGTTGAGTCAGGTATCACTGCTTATCATGTGCCTCCACCCCAGTCCCTGGCAGAATGCAACTCTCCAGGGTATTGCAGTCTCCATACCAGAACATGCATTACCTGGATCAAGGATTACACCTGCCCAGTTACCCATTAAATGCACCATGGCACAACCTATGGTAGACAGATGCCGCCATGCCCTGCCTAGAGAGGACCCGAGACGCACAGATCTGAGCCCACCCATTCTGATCTGACCTGCCCCACTCCACATCTGCACCCAGGTGTACCCTGAGTTGAGGACAGCAATGGCCACTGGGAAGACCAGGTTGCCAAACTGCCAGGGCGCCATGAGCAGGCAGCTGAGAACCTATCCTGGAAAGACATGCGCCCAGGCTCTAAATCGCTGTTTCGTGCTTCTCTAGCTCATCGGACTTCACTGCAAAGCATAAATCCAAAGGTTAAATTATTTAATTAATTAATTTATTTATTATTTTAAATTTGATGATAGAGAGGGAGAAAGAGAAAGTGAGAAAGCAAACCGCCAGGTTCAGGACTTGAACTGTGGTCAGCCATGTGGGAGTCCAGCACCTCAACCACCATGCCAACTGCCAGCCTCCAAAGATAAAATTATTATCAATACTGAGATGGCAGCTACAAAGCATTATACCTTGATCATGGTCCCTTCTGAGCACTGGACCCTGGAACACTGTACTGCTCTCACCCATGAAGCCAGCCTTACTCTCAGAAACAACAAAGAGCACAAAATCCAGGGGGAAAACCCACAGTACTTTTGTTAATTACCTCACACATTTCTGTTGCAGTCTTTTTCTTACGTTTTTGTCATTGTACTCATGTTGATTGCCTCTTTGTATCTCAAGGCTTTTGACATATTTACTGTACATATTCTCTAGCATGGTTGATTTAAAATTTTTTTTGATACTTTGGAAACATTTCTTTCATCTCCTAAACTCATCACTACTAATATTATTGAAATATTTAGGACTGTTGTCACATTTAGGAAACAGTGACTTTTTTTTTTTAATGTAAGAGCTGCAAACTTTCAGGTAGTTTCTAGTTGTCTTATGCAGGGACTAAAGTGTGATGGTTATAGGATTGGTGACACTAGCTAACCAGCTTGTTGGCACTCCTGGTTGTATTTCTTAATTTTGAAATACATCCACAAATTATTTGATGCTTCCCTATGAGAGGAAGATTACTTTCCCTCTCCTTAAATGTAGACTGAACTTAGTCACTTCCTTCCTTGTTTTGTTTTTGTTTTTTAGATTTTGGCCATATGGTGCATGCACTCAATAGAGAGAGAAAAAAAGAAAATGAGAAATCCCCCCCTGCGAGGGGGGCCACTCCACAATCCCTTCTCCTCCATTCTCCTTTCAGGATTTTGGGCGTGCATGCACACACATGCACTGCATGTTTCCCAAGCCACCAGATCTGGGACTCAACCATGTGGGATCCAGCTCCTTAACCATCATGCCATCTGCTCGCCTGCTTCTAACAAATGGAATATGGTAGAGATGACAGCTTGTCACTTCTGGGACTAGGTCATAAAAGATATTGTGGCGGGACCAGCAGGTGGCATGGTGGCTAAGGCACTGGACACTCCCACATGGCCGACCAGCGTTCGAGTTCTGAATCTGGTGGCTTACTTTCTCACTTCCTCTCTCTCTCACTCTCAACCTCTGTCCCTCTTTGGTCAAATTAAAAAAATAAATGAATGAAAAAATAAAATAAATAATTATTTTTTAAAAAATGGTATTTTGGCTTTCTCTTCTCTCACCTCTCTCTGTCTCTCAGAAGCTTACGAAGTCTACCTGGTAAAAAACAGTCTTTTTGTGGACAGCCAGCAAGGGGCTTTCTGCCAACAGCCTTGTGAATGAACCATCTGGGAAGTGGTACTTCCGCCCTAGTCACACTTCTGGATAAATGCTGCCTTGGCCAAGGTCTTAACTGTTACTCCTGAGGAAATAAAATTCAAAATAAAATCTCCTATCATCCCAGCAAAAACTCTGCTCAAAATGTAGATCAGAATGAAACAGTTTTGTTGTTGAATAAGCATCAAACCAGACTGTGATGAGTGTCACAGGCAATCCCTTAAAGAGAATTCGAAGACAGAAAGAAATCTCACCCTTTCATACAGCTAGACAGATACAATTCATTACATACATGCGAATTGTCTTTATTTTAAAAATTAGAATTTTTTTTTTATAAACAGGAAGTTGCAATTTGGAATTAGGCGCCTAGGGTAAACTCCCACAGACAGAACACTGTCCTCTTTTTTGGTGTTCACTTTCAAAGAAATGACTTCAAAGACACCCAGAGAACACATTTAAGGGATACAAAACTGACAAGAGGCTTATTTAACTTTTAAAATATTTACATACATCTGGAAGAGACAGAGGAAAAAGATTTATGATTACAAATTTTCTTTTAAAAAATTTATTTATTTAATTCCGTTTGTTATTACTAGTTTTTAATTTGACTAGAGAGAGACACAGAGAAAGGGAAAGCAAGAAAGTGAGCTGCCAGGTCCAGGACTCAAACTGCAGTCAGCTATGTGAGAATTCAGCGCCTTTAACCACCATACCATCCATCTACTGGCCCCTGTTTTCAGTTTTTTTTTTTTTTTTGAGAGGTTTTTGCTATAGGTCACGTGCACTCACCAGATAGACAGAGACAGAGAGATAGAAAGCGAGAAATCACCCCCTCAGGGGAGATGGCCACGCTGCAATCCCTTCTCCATTCTCCTCTTGGGATCTTGGGCACGCATGCACATGCACCCGGCGTGAGTTTTAAGCCACTAGATCCAGGACTTGAACCGTGGTCAACTACATGGGAGTCCAGTGACATAGCCATTACTCTAACTGCTGGTCCCAGATTTTTTTTGGTTTTTTTTTTTTTTAGATATTTTTGATTTTGGGCACCTGTACTCACCAGAAAGCGAGAGACAGAGACAGAAAGCAAGATATCACCCCCAACTAGGGGAGATGGCCACCCCGCAATCCCTTCTCCATTCTCCTGTCTGGACCTTACGCGCCCAGTGTGAGTTTAAGCCACCCGGTCTAGGACTCAAACCATGGTCGACTACA